CACAAATGTGCATGTGTCTGCACAAACGGTTAGAAACCGACTCCATGAGGATGGTATGAGGGCCCGACGTCCACAGATGGGGGTTGTGCTCACAGCCCAACACTGTGCAGGACGCTTGGCATTTGCCAGAGAACACCAGGATTGGCAAATTCGCCACTGGCACCCTGTGCTCTTCACAGATGAAAGCAGGTTCACACTGAGCACATGTGACAGACGTGACAGAGTCTGGAGACGCCGTGGAGAGCGATCTGCTGCCTGCAACATCTTTCAGCATGACCGGTTTGGCAGTGGGTCAGTAATGGTGTGGGGTGGCATTTCTTTGGAGGGCCGCACAGCCCTCCATGTGCTCGTCAGAGGTAGCCTGACTGCCATTAGGTACCGAGATGAGATCCTCAGACCCCTTGTGAGACCATATGCTGGTGCGGTTGGCCCTGGGTTCCTCCTAATGCAGGACAATGCTAGACCTCATGTGGCTGGAGTGTGTCAGCAGTTCCTGCAAGATGAAGGCATTGAAGCTATGGACTGGCCCGCCCGTTCCCCAGACCTGAATCCGATTGAGCACATCTGGGACATCATGTCTCGCTCCATCCACCAACGTCACGTTGCACCACAGACTGTCCAGGAGTTGGCGGATGCTTTAGTCCAGGTCTGGGAGGAGATCCCTCAGGAGACCATCCGCCACCTCATCAGGAGCATGCCCAGGCATTGTAGGGAGGTCATACAGGCACGTGGAGGCCACACACAATACTGAGCCTCATTTTGACTTGTTTTAAGGACATTACATCAAAGTTGGATCAGCCTGTAGTGTGTTTTTCCACTTTAATTTTGTGTGTGACTCCAAATCCAGGCCTCCATTGGTTAATAAATTTGATTTCCATTGATGATTTGTGTGTGATTTTGTTGTCAGCACATTCAACTTTGTACAGAACAAAGTATTCAATGAGAATATTTCATTCATTCAGATCTAGGATGTGTTATTTGAGTGTTCCCTTAATTTTTTTGAGCAGTGTACTTCTTTGATAAGTGTGGAACTTACCTTCTTTGTTGCACAAAGTTTGAAAGCAAGTTGGATGGTACCTAACAGAATGGAGGCCACTGGTGATGAATTTTGTACTTTGTTGCTACCAAAAATGGTTGAGGCAGGTTTTTGTATTGTTTTTTTTTTTCAAGGGTTCTTTAGTAAAGGGAATGGTTCTATTAGAACCATGAGATCTACCAGAACCATGAGTTCTACAAAAAAAACATTTCATGCTTAATGAAATATGGTTCTATATAGAACCTTTTTCAAAATGGTCCCATCAAAAAGGGTTCTTCTGTTGTTACAATGTCAAGCCTGTAGCAACAAAGGAACCGTTTTTGGTGCCATATAGAATCATTTTCAAACAGATTCTATACATAATATGGTTATATATAGAATCATTTTCGAAAAAGATTCTATATATAACTGAATTCAACACATGCTTCATCAATTTAAAGAACCATTTCACCATGCAACGAATCATTTTAGCATGAGAGCTCAGGGTTCTTTCCCTTTACTAAAAAACCCTTGAAGAAGCATCTTTTTTAAAGGTGTAGCTTACCATAAGAAGGCTACAAGTCTAAGAAGGAAGGAGATTTAAGCCTTCATGAGAAAGTATTTAAGGGGTTTAAAATTTATACAGTTTAGCCATTTTATGCAACACATCATTTGAAAATATAAATGACCATTCTCCATTATTAGCTTAGTGGCTGTCCCAGCCAAATTATTTTAGTCTCTGAGTAATGGCAAGAAAATAAACAGCTAGTGATCATATACTGCACTGGTTTTAGACTCGTCCATGATGAATTTGTTCTGGCCTTAGGAATGGAAGAATTTGGATAAAATAACTATGGAATGTAAATGGGGAAATGAAATGGGAAAAAACAGTAACTGTAAATCTAAGTTAGACTGGCCTTTGGTTACACATTAAGTTCAGTGGTTTTAGCTTGATAGCAAAAGCACAAAATTATGGATCACAACAGTGGAGAGGAGACTTGAAAGAAAGATAAAGAAGGGTTTGACAGAAGAGGGATATCAGTATGACAATTGCAATACTTTAATCCAGCTCAGTAGCCTGAAGCTTCACACCAAGGTTGGTCACTCTAGATTGAAAATAGAAGTAGAAGCAAAATTGATGGTTTTCAAAGGAAGGATAGATAAAAAAAATAATGGCAGGACGGGATAAAAGGGCTTTGGTTGTTCTACCACTGTAGGAGCGAGAGAAGTTTTCAAAAGCTCATATTGTAAGTCAGAAAAGGGGGGGAAGGGAATGAAAAATAGGACTAAATAATTTAGGGAAAGTTATGGATTTAGGTTACCAAAAGCATCTTAGTGTTAGGATCATCTAAACCGGTACAGAGAGTGTTCAGTGCTATGCTCGTTCTGCCATTTAAGAATAATCTTTATGCTAAAGGATTGAAAAAAAACAGAATAGGGGAAAAAAAAATAATCACACACACACACACACATTTTCCATAAGCCGCTTATCCTTCTGGGTTGTGGGGAGAAATAATGACATTCCCTCTTAATAAAAGTAATGCATAGCCACAGTTGCCTTGGCCATGAATTAGTAAGGCTTGGGCATGACTTATATTATTCCCACATCTTACTAAGGTGTGGCCACGGCTTACTGTAGGCTGAATAGGGGGTATATATGTAAATGTGTTGGTTTTTGTGACATCACAAATACAATGATTTCAAAATAGGCTGTTTTTGTTTTTCATATAAGGAATGTATGGATTGGAGAGTGAGTGGTATATTGTGAAACTTTTTTACTACATCAAACTCTTTTATTTAAAAAAAAAAAAGTAAAGAAAATTCTGTTTTCCATGATATGTGCCCTTTAATTATCTTGTTTCCACACCTTAGTGTTTCATGGCCACAACTTTCTCTTTTTATTATCTCCCATACCTTAAAATGAGTACATAAACAATCCCATGTGGACTGTTGATTATCTCCCATAATCAAACTTTTTAATATAGAATATATTTAAGAATATAATTTTTACACCTAAGAAAATTTAGTTCTTTGGCTTTTGTGTCTCTGTGAGGCCTGTGACATGTTCCTTGAGAAGGACGCTGTGACATGAGATAAGGACTTTTTTATGCCCATCTCCAATCTATCCTACCAGACATGGCGACGGCTGTGAGTTGGAACTGGATTTTTCCATCATCATTTCACTGGGTGAAAGGTACAGGTATGACAATATATATTGTTATTGTGATTATCATGAAATGATGTCAGAATACAATATAATCTGCTTGGAGAACACAGACCAAGTGCATTTTTCATTAAAGAGACCAAAATTAGTCCAGTTTAACTGAATTTAGTGCAACACAGTATGCCAAATATTGAATCGAAATCACTGTGTTCACAGTTTTTGATTGTTTTGTTTTTATGTAGCACTACTAGTTCTTTTTCTATGTTTCAACTGATCAGATGTCTGAAAAAATATCATGACATATCATGTACCACTTTAATTATCACAACATTATATTTTTGCTGTATCGCCCACCTCTAGTGAAAGGTGACTGTTCAGGAACCTTCAAGGCCTTGGTCGACTAAGAGCAACTCTTGATGACATCATTAAGATGCGAATGAAGGATACTATCTTTGTTGCCTCAATCTCACCAATGTCACTGCGTTCAGTTTTGCTTCTAAGCCCATCTAAGTCCATATTATAATAGTTTTGACTTGTAACGATGAATCAGCAAATGTATTATGTCTAATTTAGGTACAATTTGGATAAATGTATTTGCTTTGAGCAAGTCTGTGTTAGGCAGGGAAAACACTTGCCACATGCTCTCATCCCCTCCACTTACTTTCTTTCTCTGTTTCTCAACTCTTAGAGTTTAGCCTGCTGATTTTCTTTAAAGGTACAGTGTGTGAGATATGACAGCGATTACTTGATGACCCCTCCCTCACCCCTCCTTTCCCAAGCGTGTAGTAGGACTTGCGGTGGCTGTGATGTTTTCACATATTTGACACCAATGATTCACCCTCCCTTGTTTTTTCTTCTGCTAAATAATAAGTTTGAACCTCCATTTGTCAAGATTTGGGTTCTCAAATTTTTCACAATTTTTTGCCAGCAACCACTAATCTAATAAATCTAATAAAGTTATACAAGTGTAGCAAAGAAATGAAAAAAGAGGAAGGAACACATAGTTTGTCGCTACACTCCAAAAGCTAACTTCATTTTTTCTATCAGAATAGATCACAGGCTCAGCAGACTGTGCATAATGCTAGTGTTAATGTAACTAGAGTTAGCTACCCTGTTGGGGTAATTAGTCAAAAAACGAGTCCATTTAAGTCACTAATTACATTTCTCAAAATGTAATGGGATTGCGCTACTTTAATTCCTAAAAAAAGAAATCTCACTGCTCATATTTTTACTTCTATCTTGCCTGTACCAAATTATCTCATTATTTTGGCAGATAATTTGTTTAAAGTGTTGTTTCTTAAAAACAAAACAAACTGACCTGCCAATATAGTAAGATAATTTCACCTAATAAATTACTGAAGTAAAAAAGTATAGAAATAAGTTAAATAATCATATGATATTCTTTCAACCCTTTCGATGGACTGGCAACCTGCCCAAGGTGTTTCCTGCCTTCCGCCCAATGACTGGGATAGGCTCCAGGTCTCCTCACGACCCAGAAGGACAAGCGGTTTAGAAAATGTGTGTGCGTGTGTGTGTGTGTGTGTGTGTATTCTATATAACAATCTCAAAATGAGAAGTATCAGATACAACTACTAGATTTGCCATGATATCATTTTTGCAGTAAGACAGCTGAGACAATGATTTTAATATGTGAACTCATGAGGCCCCAGAATCACTAAATCCACCCCTGGAACTATGAAGAGAAATCGAGGGGTGACAAAAAAGGGAAGATATCTGGAAGCAAAATATTTTTTTTCCCTGAAAGCTGTGGGAATGGGAGCAAGTTGAGAAAATGTCATATCCACGAAAGATAAGGTGGAAAAGGATAAAAAATACAGAGATAACATGAAGTAGGGAGCAGACGACAAAATACAGTCAGCGACGCGAGCGGCCATTGGACGAAAGTTTGTGAGGTTGCGGTTTGGGAGCTCTATTGGAGGAGTAACGCTGTGGGGTCTGTAGGAGGAGGAAGAGGAAGAGAGAGAGCCAATTGTCGAGCTGCAGCAGTGCCACAGTAGTGAGCTTTGGGATTGTTTGGGCTACTTTAGAAGAAACGAGTCGTGCACTGACCGCTGCATTTTCAAAGATAGCGTTTTCTTATGTCACGACTGATTAATGAGCGTTATATGAACGGCATTGGGCTGTTTTAATCTCGCTAAACCGTGTGCTGACACAACACAGATATTAAAGGAGCAAAGTTCGCGTTAGTGACACATTAGCCGACTAAGACACAGTGGAAATGTGACCTGTTACGTTTTGCAGACACTCCAAAATGGCGAATAGTGCAGCAAATGCAGCCTTATCTCCTGTAGACTAGACTCGTGTCCGTTTCTGCACTGAAGTCTCAGCGTTTCCCATCCTGACTCGTGAGGAAAGGTAAAACAGTCCGGCAAAATGCTTCAACGGGACATGACATATGCGATTCATGTTGTTTTTCTTGCCGCGGAGAAAATCCTGAAATGGTCTGCTGCTTTTGAGTCACTCGGTTTGGTCTGTCACCCCTGCGGTTTGGCTTTTGTGTGTGAATGTCATTACACTTTATCCTCGCCTGTGTCCTCCTGCTTGTGTGTCCGCCCCCTTCTCAGTGTTCTTCCTCCCACAGATGGGGAGGCTCCGCGTGGCAGTGGTGGGCGCAGGAGCTGCAGGCCTGTGTGCGGCCCGACACATTTTGTCTCGACCCAATACGTTTGACCCCCCGGTGGTGTACGAGCTGACTGACCACGTGGGTGGTACGTGGTTCTATGAGGAACGCGTGGGCACTTATGACAATGGCCTCCCTGTTCAAAGCAGCATGTACAGAGACCTCAGGTAGACCACTGCTCGTACTGCTTCTGAGCCATTTGTCCTGGTCTTGGTCCAACTAAGTTAATCAGCTAAATTACAAGGGCCCAAAAGGGACCTTTTCTTCATAACTACACTGTAACATGTTTAGCCCTTTAGTTTCACAGTAGTTACTGAGTAATATATCACCACTGTCGAACCCATAACAACTTCTCCGTTTTTGTTTTTACACTATTTGAGAACAGAGATCGAGTTCCCCCCATTGTGCGAACACCTCATGAGAAATGGACCTACAGGAATGGTCCAACATTACTTGAAATATGATTTGCTTTTTTAATGGGGAATTCAACTGATTTTTTTAAATTTCTGCATAGTTTTGTTGAGATGTAAACAAAGTCATTCAGGGTCTGAAGTAAAATGGTTCATTACAAAGCAATTAGAGCCATTTTACTTTCCAGAATGATTACTGAACTTACGTGTCTCCTGAGTCCTATATGTAACATTGATAATAATGGAAAAACTAGAGGTAAATCTGAAGAAAATTAAAGCGTCGGCCTGTGTTTTAAACATATGTTTAGGCCAAACTCTTGTCTCAAAATGGTTATAAACTGTCTTGTGCATCAGGCAGTGTATTCATAACCATTTACGAACATAACAACTTGTGTGAGGGACATCTGGTTCCTATCACCACTGCTGTGAACAATTCTGACTCACATCAAAAATTGGTTGAATTCCCATTGTTCCCTTTAGCTTACGTTAAAAGCTAGCATTTTTGCCTTTCCATTTCACTTTTTTTTTTTTTTTAATTTTTGTTTAGTTGCAGTGATATAGTAGGTCCTGAATGGTAAGATTAATAACTGAATAATAAGGCTACAGTTTAAAGGGCTAACAGGCCCTCAATGAGTTGAAATGTGTGTTGGACCAGGGAAAACAATGGCAGAGTTGGGAACCACTGGGTACTTTAAGCTTATTTATTTGGGCCATAACTCCTATGTCTTTCTGCATGTTCTCCGTTTTTAGAACCAACCTGCCTAAGGAGGTTATGATGTTCCCTGATTTTCCCTTCGACTCCCACTTGCCCTCATTTCTGTCCCACCAGGATGTTCAGCAGTATTTGGAGAGATACTGCGAGAGTCATGCCATTACACCACATATAAAGGTTTTTAAATTGAGATGATCTTGTTTTTTTCTTTATTTCCAGTTATATTTACAAATTACATTAATGTTTTTAGAACATCCTGCTGTGGGTTCTATTCAGAACATATGTGCCAGACACAGAGATGTAGCAAAACAATGTTCTTGAGCTTCCCAAACAGTCTTTTCCAAACTTCATTGACCACTGGCCAAAAGCACCGCCATAGAGACAGTAGCAAAAAACACAGCCAATCGGGTATGCCTCTGGGCCAGTGACGAGTGGCCTGTAAATGTCCTACGGTATTAGTGAGTAACGTTTTTGTGTTGGAGGCTAAAGTAGTGCTTGTGACGGTCTTCTCTCTCGTCAACAGTTCAACACCGTGGTGGAAGAGGTGAAGCCCATCTCCATGGAGACGGAGGAGGGGGGAGCTGTGACGTGGGAGGTAATTTCGCGTGGCACGTACGGAGGGCACAGCACACAGACATTCGACTCGGTGTTCATCTGCAGTGGGTGAGGAATGCCATTTGTGACAGCACAAAAAGCCACTTGTACACAAAGTGAAGTTGATCCTTTAGCATAATTTTTGCAGAGACGCTCTCCATAACATACGTTTATCATCCTAAAAGAGGATTATTTCCATTTTCTCAGTCATTGTCCTGGCATTAAAAGCAATTTCAGCTTCACTGTGAGGATATGAATGAGCGCTTTTTAAACCATTCATAAGGAAATTATGTGAAGGAAGCTGTGAGGAAAAGAGCAGCAGACCTCTAGGCATGACTCATGTGTTCCTTCCTCTCTTACAGACATTACTCTGTGCCCCACCTGCCCTCCATTCCAGGAATGGAGCATTTTAAAGGTGCAGCAAATGTTTAGTGTTGACAACAAACATGACCCTGAAAGTGCAAACTATTACTCACGTACACTCTAACCATATCTCTCTCTGCTGATTTCTCCCTCTATCTTTCATTCACTCTTTTCCTCGCTTCTCAGGAAAGGTGATGCACAGCCACTCTTATCGCTGCCCAGAACCGTTCGCCCATCAATCTGTTGTGGTTCTGGGTGCTGGAGCATCTGGAGTTGATATCTCATTCGAACTGGCTCAAGCTAAAGCTAAGGTGTGAGGCTTTACCATCAGAAACAAGTCACCGCTAATACAGTTCTTTAGGGAAAAAGCATGTCCTAAACTAGAGCATGTCTTTTGTTTAAATAGTTCATTTTATCAATCTTCTGTTTGCTCATTTAATGACAGAAGACATGCAGATGTATTTCATTCATGTTTGGCCTTTTAAGGAATGTTGAATGATGCACTGAGTAGCTGTCAGCAATGTGGTAAGCCGGTACCGACTTATTCTTCCCTCTTTGCTCATAATCCGTATTTGTAGGTGACCCTGAGCCATAATAAGCCAGCTCTGCAGTTCTCTTTGCCCCCGCAAATCCAGCTGGTAGCCCCTGTGGTGAAGGTCTTGGAAGATGGCTCTTTGCTGTTCCAGGATGGATCAGTGGCCCAAGCTCAAGTTCTTCTACTTTGTACTGGATACAGTTACCACTTCCCATTCCTCTGCCCCAAACAGCTTGGCCTGGAGGTAGAGCACCACCTGGTGGCTCCTCTGTACAAGTACCTTCTGCCTCCCACCTTCCCCTCACTCTTTTTTTTAGGCATCTGCAAAATGATCTGCCCTTTTCCTCACTTTCATTGTCAGGTGAGCATCCAAAGGTGCTATTTACTTGGTTATAGGCATAAACTGCAATTCCTTTTACTTTATGTCTGTCTTTCTGTCTCATTCTCAAATTTTCCTTCCCCAGGTCCTGTATGCACTTGCAGTTCTTGAGGGCACAGTTCAGCTGCCTTCACGTGAAGTGATGGAAGAAGAGGCTGAAAGAGAGAGAACGAGGAAGACACAGATGGGTGTTCAAGCGAAACACCTTCTGAAAATGGACTCCGAGCAGTGGGTTTACTACCAAGATCTGGCGACTACAGCAGGATTCTCACCTCCACAGCCGGTTATACAGAGTCTTTATGAAGAAGTAGGGAGACAGCGCCAGGCGAAGCCTCAGGCTTACAAACAAATTAACTACAGACTTGTTGATGCCACACAGTGGCAGCTTCTGGAAGCACCATCTGTACCGACAGATAAGGTCTAGTGTTAGTTGTAGGACCAATGGAAAGTGATTCTAGGACCTTGTTTCAGTACTTTTTGAACATGCCCTCACCAACTTTGACTCACCACATGGAAGTGCGTCAGATCTACCTTAAAAAAGTGGCCCCACACAGTACAAATGGAAGAGAAGAGCAAATTTTGTTTTTTAATTGGAATGCACTTGCCTTCGACTAGGTTAGCATTAATGTGCTGATCAGCTAGGTATTTTTCGAACATATCATAAAAAAAAACGATAAATACTTGTTAACCATATAGGCTTTAGCTATAAGTAGCAGATAAGTTGTATTAACAGTCAGGGGTCTCAGGAGTAGTTTGCAACCTAAAGCCAAGCAAATCAAATGTTATGCTTTTGAAATCTTAAGCATTTTAGCATACTGTACTGCTATAGCTTGTAAACAGCTTTGTCTGCCTTTATTTTTGATTTGAGAAGGAAGGTGCATCCGGTCTCAGTGACTTCTGGGCAAGTTCTCCTGCAAAGCTGACAATCATGTTCACCCCCCCCCCACCTCCCCCCCGGGGGGCTCAACTAATAAAATTACACTTGAGCTAATAGAGTAATGGAACAGCTCTTAAGATGGCATCAGGGACTCCTTTGAGGGGAAATGGTGAGGCAAAGAGGACAAGGGCTTGTTAAAAACAGTATTGAAACAGGCAGTAGCTGTTCAATCGATGTTACTAACTTTGTCCTGACCTTTCCAGTATCCACTGGATTATAGTCTGCTTTTTTAGAGGTGCTGTCACATTAAACGTGACATTTAACATTCTAAATTGTACCAAGAAGTACACTACCACAAGGAAGAAAACCATGAATAAGATGAATAGTAAATGTCTCTGCAAATCCCACAAGAATAGGTGCATAGTTCAGTAAAGATAATTCTTTTACTGATGCAAACGAATAGGACACTAAAACAGTGCATAAATTACAAGAGTCTTAACATTATTAATGCAAATGGATTGTAATATTCTGAATGGAGTCTTGCACATTTCTGCAAATGAGCCTAATCACTTGTGTGTTTTTTTTTACGAAAAAGAAAAAAATCTATAATAATAGTATTAGAAACTATACAATTTCCATAGTGCTACTTGTATAGTAATCTCTAAAATATTTTCACCTTCTATAATACTCAGTTCATAAAATTCCATCCCTGCTAGATCTGCCCTGTAAGTGCTATTATTGTGCATTGGAAACATCTAGGAGCAACAGCTCAGCCACAAAGTGGTAGGCACAGAGGGGGTGCTGCCAAGTGCTGAAGCACATAGTGAGTAAAAATCACTTATCCTCGGTTACATCACTTACTACAGAGTTCCAAACTGCCTCTAATATCAGCATAAGGTCTGTGTGTCGGAGGCTTTATGACACACAAGCCTAAAATCACTATGCACAATGCCAAGTGTCAGCTGGTGTGGTGTAAAGCACATCGCCTCTGGACTCTGGAGCAGTAGAAACACATTCTCTAGAGTGATGGACCACGCTTCACTATCTGGCAGCCTGACGGACAAATCTGGGTTTGGTTAATGATAGGAGAACACCATGAATCAGAATGCATATTCTGCTACAGCATGCAGACACATTGTAGACAATTATATGATTCCAGCTTTGTGGCAATAGTTTGGGGAAGACCAATGCCCCATGCACAGAGCAAGTTCACAAAGACATGGTTTGACGAGTTTGGTGTGGAGGAACTCCAATGGTCTGCACAGACCCCTGACCTCATCCCCACTGAACACCTTTGGGATCAGTTGGAACATGGATTGGGAGCCATGTCATCTTGTCTAACATCAGTGCCTGACAAATGCTCTTTTGACTAAATGGGTGCAAATTTGCACAGATACACTCCAAAATCTTATAAAAAGCCTTCTCAATTGAGCAGAGGTTACAGACACAAACAGGGGCTAACCCCATATTAATCCCCATGGTTTTTGGAATAGAAAGTCATATGGAAAAGAAGGTCATATGGGGTGTGGTCAGTTGTCCACATACTTTTGATCATGTAGTGTATCTTAAGTCTGTATTACTTGTGTAGTATCTTGGGATAAACTACAGTAGTCTTCCAAACTACTAAGCTTCTAGGAATGCTGTAGAAATTCCTGTAGTATTACTATAGATCTTTTTCATAAGGGTCATTTTATATGTATTTACACTTAATGATTTGGGATTAGCTAAGAAACCAATACAGAATAAAAACACAGAAATTAATGTTATGTGCATTAATTCAATTCAGCTACTTTGTCTGGTCTCAGGCTGAGCATCGTAAGGCCAGGAAACACTAAACGCTAGAAGCAGTATAAGCAGTTGCTTAGGGCCCCTGAGCCACCATGGGGCCCTGGATATGTAGTTTTTACAAATTATATTTAAAAAGCTATTTATCTGTGCAATTAGCATTATATTGGTCCCAAAAAACACTTATGTCCAAATAAATACAAAAAACATTGATACAATAAATTGTGATTTAACAATTGTATGCAAAAGCTCAGGTGCTCCTGGTAAAATTACGTTTTGTTGATTTTCTGACTGAAAATAAGTACACATCCTCCACAGAGAGCACACTTCAGCACATTTTAGGAGCACAATTACTGATTATTTGCTGACTTTAACATATTGGGGGGGGACGGGCATAAAATGTGGTCTGTGCAAAAGTTATGGCACATTTTAAATATAATGTTTTTTTCAGTATGTTAAACTAATCAAATAAAAATAAATTGTGCTGTATTTAAGTTTGTGCCCTGTAGAGCAGCAGTGCTCATGGAGTTATTGAGTTAAACCGCCAGATGCCCCTAAAAAACTTCAATATCTGGATCAGGTGTGTTAGTTTAGGGTTGGAGCTAAGCTCTACAGGGTGGTAGATCTCCAGGACCAGGATTGGGCCCTCTTGCTGTAGAGGATGTGTTATTTTATTTTCACTTAGAAAATCAACAAAACATTTGATGAAGAATATTCACACTTTTGCATACAACTGTATGTATGTCAGTGTATTCATGTAACCGCTTTCGAGCATTTCCTCGAGGAAGTTATTGTTTTATTATTTTATTATTACCATCCAGCACCTGGTTTAGCTAATCTTCATTACATTCAATCAGATGTGCTGCTGATGGATTTGAACAGATCCATGCGATGACTGAGGGCATTGAGGAGAAATCAGGAATCAAACCAGACTCTGTTCTTCTAATCACTACATATAAACTACTTTTTGAAAATGAGAAATTCTTGTTGCCTTTTCTTGCATTAATGTTTATTTGGGCTAATTCTAGTGTTTTTTTAAACAGAAGCATGCATATTGCCCAGATATTGTTTTAAACAATTTGCTAAGGTTCCTAAGACTTTACCATTTTATTTTTCTTAGATTTTGTTCTTTATCAAAGTCAAACGGGAACAATTTTTCAAAAATTCAGCATAATTAAATGGTTAAGACGTAAATAAAGTCCTTCAGAGCGATTTGATGTGAAATGCTCTGTTGCAGAGAAACTTAGAGTCAGAATTGTTTACGGTGGTGGTGATAGGAACCAGACGTCTGGAGATGTTCAATGCCTCTAAAAGCTCCATCACAGAAAATGATCACACAAAATAGTTGTGAATATGCTGCCTGATGCCTGAGACATCGTTTCCCGATAGTTTTCTGATAAAGTTTTGTCCTAATATGTTGATCTATTTATTTTAATCCATTCATGGCGGAGGGGTACACGCAGAGCGTTGTGAGGCAAAACAGCCACCAAAGAAACCGTATTTTTCCAGAATTACTGCTATTTTTAGCATCATCAAACCTCAGAAGATGTGTAGGTTTACTGGTAGTGTTGGATAGTAAATAAAATGGCTATATTTGTGTTGTACACATGGTGACCTCTGGTTCCTCTCACCACCACTGTAAAGAAATGATGATCACTTTCTCTAACGGACCATTTTACATCAAACCACTTTGACTTTGTTTACATCACACCGACGGAATTATGCAAAATAATAATAACAATAACAATGATAACCACAACAAAATACTAAAAATAGGTGGAATTCCCCTTTAACGAAGTATTCATTCTTGTATACAAAAGAATATGACTGGGGTGGGGTGGGTGGAGTGGAGTGGGGTGGGGTGTGTGGGCCCCCAAGTAGGATGGAAGTCGTTTGGGGTTAAGAAACAGGCCTGGAAGGACCTTCTGGGAGCACCAAACATTTAGACCAAACAACGCAATGTGTCAACAGAAATTAAGCTTCTGTTTAGAAAGACGGGATTTTTTCCCACAGAAATTCAAGCGTAATTGAAATGTTGCATCATGGCTTTTATCAGCAGAGCGAGCTACGCCACACACTTGTGAGTTTTCCCATCTGGTTTGAGTCGTCATCTCCGAACATTGTGAAATTGGACACCTACTTTCTTAACCCTTCCCAACTCGTCCGCCCTCTCCGCTCGCTGTTCTAAAAGTAGCGAAAGCAGTCCCGCAGGCTTTGGACTGTGAATATTAGCCAGTCTCATGTATGTTCTCGGTTTAATCTAGAGGAGCACCGCGAAGTCCACCTCCGACTCTCCGCCGACCAGCCTGGAGTTTCTGTTCAAACAAACAGGGCTGAAGAGAAGGATCTGGCGCGGGTGGGGGCAAATGGAAGACAGAGGGGGGGTTTCCTCTCAGAAGAGGACTGATTTAGCCCGACTAATAAGACTTCATTAATGAATCAGAGTGTATTCAGAAGCTTGAGGGTCCTGTGGCTTTCGGATTAGAACGACTGTTGAGATGTCAAGTTCAGTCTTCAGATAAGGCGAGGTAAGAAACTTGACTTGTTGTCACCCGCCCCTGTAGAAAAACACACTGTGGTCTCCGTGGTATAGCCCTCAAAACTTTGTCTGTTAGTACAGTGATTATGTCGGTGTTAAAGCGTTTAACATGTAGGCAGTATGTGTGGTATTATTGTTCTCATAAATGTATCACGATATTAATCCAAAAGTAGCTTAAATTCCTGTAGCTGAAGGGAGGAACCCTGGGTGTGTGTGGAAGGGTGGGAGTGTGTTGAAGTTCACAGCAAAATCACAAGCGTTAACACCCCTCAGTGCTAAGTCCTCGCACTGCAAAAAAGCACATCTTTTCAGGTGAAAGCCTCTTAAATGTAGCCAATGTGTCTAATATTTATGATTTTGAGACTGTTTTAAGATTATTCAGGCTATTTCTGGATGTTTCACTTATTTTAAGTGACAATATGGGAGATAATCGTAGCTTACTGAAATAACATATTTATATAAATGATCTGCCAATGCAGTGAGATCATTTAGGTAAAATTACGTAAAGTACTTAAGAGACTAGAAATAGACTGAATAATCTTGTAATATTCTTTCATTTTAATCTTATCATTAAATATTGCCGACATTTAAAAGGCTCACATGCTACTTATGACATGTTGTGGATTTTTTGTACTCAGAAAAGCAGACATAATTCATTTTACGTGACTATTTTCCAGTCTGTCTTTATACCTTAGAATTTAACAGGATGTTTGTGTTACTGTACCTTTAAGACTGATATATGCAAATAATTTTGTTCTGATTGGCTGCACTGTACTGCACCTCTGACAGAAAGCAGTCAAGGCTTAAACATTGCTTATAACTTTAATGTGAATGGGTGGGGCTACTACTGTGGGCTAAATAGGCAGAAAAATATAAATACACTGGTTTTTGTGACATCACAAAACATTCAAAATGGAATGTTTTTCGCAGCTTAGTTTGCTGTGAAAATATGTACTGTATGGACAGGAGAGTGCGTAGTACATTTCGAAACTTTAACTGTGTTTACATCCGACATCAAAGAAGCTTCCACATTCCAATATTTCCTTTTGTGCAGTGCACAGCTGTAGGCTGTTACCCCCCACTCTTGTTATGTGATTCCTGTCACATAATGAAGACTGCAAGTCAAGCTTGATGTTGAGCTAGCGAGCTGTAAAGCACTGCTCAGAAAGGCTTCCTAGTAAAAAACACAGTTCACATCATCTTCTGAAGTGTAAAGTGTTTTATTCAAGCATGAATGCCTGCCGTCTCCAATATGTGCTGGGTTTACCTCACTTGCCAGCAGATGGATGAGGAGGCGGACAGCAACGGGCAGGAAGAACATAGTTCTGATGACCCTGCTCTTCCTGGACCCAGTGTGGAGGCAGAGACCCAGCTTCAACACTGCCAGGAGCCCCACACTCCAGACCAGGACTTGCCCATCATGCACTGGGAAGACTTGAGTTTGCGGATAGCAGAGCTTGAGAAACAGGAGGAAGAGAAAAGGAGAAGATCAGAGGTTTGACAGTGATGGTTTAGTTGTTTGGTTCCGTAAATCTTTGCTCCAAAAGAATCTTCATAGTCACATATTTATGACCGTATATTTTATATTAGGCCCAATTTTTTTAATGTGACTTAGACTCTCAAAGCAGATGTATTAAAACCATGTATGGTGTTATTTTTGAATGTGTGTGTTTAGTTAAGGACAACACATTTTGTTTCACCAAATTCCACAAATGTCTGTGTAATGCAATCATTGAGATGTAAAATCATTTTGTAGAATACACAAAATTGTAGAATGGTTTGATGTGACATGGTTTACTGTAGAAAAGTTTATCTTTTCAAAAGGTTTTTTATAATGGTGGTGTTAGGAGCACACATGCAGCCATTTAATTAACTCACATGTGTCTTTCAAATTTTTATATTGATAATAGTAAAATATGAAAACAAATGTCCAAAAAAGGTTTTTTGAGTACCAGTTTGACTCAGAACTCCCTGATTGAACTTCTCAGTGATAAATGTATTTTGAAATGTACATTTTAGGCCAAACCCTTACCTGAGAATTACCATAACAGTTTCTCAGGCATCAGGCAGTGTATTTGTTACCATTTCATGTAATAACTTAAGAGGTCTGGTTCCTATCACCACCGCTGTGAACTGTTCTAAGTTTCTCTAGAAAGGCTCATTCCACACCAAACCACTCTTAATGACTTTGTTCATATTTTACCAAGGTAATTATTCATAATTCTTGAAAAGTCACTGGAAAATCACCTTAACCCACACCAGTATGTTCAATGTCATAAATCAAACACCGCCCCCCCCCCAGCACATTCAGTGTCTGACCTGCCGCCACCCGGATATAGTCTCGTTAGGAGACTGCAATGACATAGATACGCTCAGCAATTTTCTTCATTTACATTTTGTTCAAAATATGTATTATTAATTAACACACTGTATTAATGTATTATTAATTGACATTCTAAAAGCCACTGTAAAATGAGATCCCTCTTTTGTCCTTTATCTTATTTTAGTCCAGGAGTTCAACAGAACAAGAATCGGTGCTGGGACAATTGTCTCAAGTAAAGCACCAGTCGCTTCTCAGGAAGCAATGGGAAGATAAGGATGACTTTGGGGGATGCCGTTTTCCATTTATCACATCTCGGTATGTCATGACTGCTTTATCATTTTATTTTAGATTAAAGGCCTCAGAAAGAGAAGAATAGCTTCTAACAAACTTCACACCTTATTTTTAAATGGATGTTGGGTGTACTAAAAATTCCACAGCAGTTCTATGGGAGACTTAATACTACAGAGTAATAGAGGTTTTTCACCTGATTCTTTTTTACTCCTACTCAGTTTCTGCCAGCTACTTTTAATTGTGCCACCTAGTAGCTGAAAAAAAAAACAAGACAACAGACAGACAACAGAGTGTATGACGCATCAACCCAGGCATCAACCACATCAGCACAGAGATAAACAGCACAAAACCAACACCACTGCATCACAGTCATCCTGTTTATAGACACTAACAGTGCACCATTGAACAAATATCACTAACATAGTGGATGTCTACTAAAATGACATGCCAGTATATATTGAACCTTAACTATATATAAAGTCACAACAATGAGAATAATTAAAATACATACAGCAGTAATAAACCAGACTGGTAAAATCAGAGTACATTATTGATATGCAAAATAACACAATTATAAAACTCTTTGATGATACTGATCTACGTCCTATTTACACATGATTGCTGTGTGCTTAACATTTCATTTTTCACAAGAGTTCCTGCAGATGCATTTGAAAATCATGCCTCAGCTGTATTAGTGGATGTATTAGCAGCCTGGTGCGTGAGGCTTTGAGTAGGAGAATATGAAGCCGGTCATTTTATAGCAACATGTTCATTTTGCCTAGTAACTGCCTTTCGATTGGTCAAGAGCATTTTATTCTGCTGAT